AGTTGCCCGGGGGTCAGAGCTATTAGCAAGCCATAGGAAAGCAGGGCAGTGGTGGCGTACGCTTGTAATCCCAGCACTTGGTAGGCAGAGCTAGGTAAGTCTCTGTGTGTTCAGGGATACAGCCAGTATTGGATACACATGCCTTTAATCTTAATACCAATCATAGAAAACCTGGAGGTCTATACAGACAGGCCGTGATGAGGCAGTCATGTGATTGGGTTTACAACCAATGAGAAGGCAGAACAGAAACATTATAAAAAGACAGACACACAGGAAGTAGCTCTGGTTCGGAGAGGTAGGACCACCGCAGGAAGAAGGGTAAGGTTTTAGCTCTTAGTTCTGATCTCTTGGCTTTCTTCTTTGCATTGGTTCTGTGTTTCTTATTTAATAAGACGGTTGGTGACATCTACATGGACCCCTTTAAAACCCTCCGTTCTGGCTTCTCCCTGTTCCCTGTTCTAACTCTTGCCTTCTTGCCCCTCACCTCTTTCTCTCGGCACCAGCCAAGGGTTTCCACTTTCCCCCATATCCAAAGGTTATATCAACAAAACCACTGATGGACTTTGGGGGTCTTTTCAATAAATCCATGGGAGGGGTACCATAACTACCACACCTGACACTCCCATTCATTTGCCATAAGCCAAATCCATCATTGCCCCAGTTCCATAAAAGAAGTCAGGGATATCTCTTCAGAGGGGTTAATGATGACAGGAAGCAAAAGTTGGCTAGGAAGTTTAAGGTAAAAAGATTCCAAATAAAAGGAACCAGTTTCCTTCTTGGGTAAAAGCCAGAAATGTCTTCAGGTCTCTTGGCAGCCTTAGGCCAGAGATACCAAAACTATTTGGGGGCTCTGATCCCGGATCTGGATCCTAAATGCTTTTAGAGTTACCTCTACAGAAGGGAAATGGCAGAAGAAAAACCACTCTTTGTGGTCAAGAGACGAGTCTCTGGGCTGAGGGGAGAACTAACATTCTAGTTGGGCCGCATCAATCAGCTGGACCAGGAACCACCCCTAGAGAGGCTGCCCACCCCCCTTTGCCATAAAGAGACAGGTGGAATAATTAGCTCCTTAATGAGATACTGTTCCCAGAATCCCTGTCCTTAGTGCAGAGCCTTACCTGGCCACGGCCATACAGCTTCATAAACCTGCCCACTCTTCTGAGTCTTCAGGAAGTTGTACCTCCTCCTCTCCCTCTGCCTCTTTCCTATGCATGTCTTCCTTGACACGTTCAGTCCCCTGTCCTTTGGGCCACTTTATTCTTTCTCTTAAGATCTCCTCCCTGTATGTGGCTGCTTGTCTGTCGTGTCTGGGTTCCATGCCAGCTTAAATGCCATGCATTTCTTCTTTTAGCCTTCATTTACCTCTGGACAGCTGCTGAGACTTACAGGTGGTCTGACTGTGGGTTTTCTTATAAACTCTACTAAAATTGCCCTTGAAGTTAAAAAAAAAAAAAAAAAGCAATAAAGAAACAAGAAACTGATCTGGTGGGATAGCTCAGTGGGTAAAGCCTGACAACTTGAGTTTGATCCTCAAAACCCACATGATGGAGAAAGCCAACTTCCACAAATCATCCTTTGAATTCTATATAGTACAGCCATCACACACACACACACACACACACACACACACACACACACACACACACACACACACGTATGCACGCACAGACACACACAATTAAATAATAAAATGTAATAAATTTTTTGAAAGAGAAACAAGAATCATTATAGAAATGACTCTGAAAAAACAATTTTGACTGATAATGAATTAAGCAAAAGTGCCAGGTCAGTGCTAAGTAAAGGCCATGTTCACATACATACTTTAGCAAACATCTGCCTCAGCTTAGGAGAAAAACAATACCAAAAACAATACCTCTGCTATTTCATCTCGATATAGTCCTTATATCAGAACTGGGCCAGCAATAAGTAGGTGAACTGAGGCACAGAAGGGGATGTTATAGTTAACAGACAGTTCCTCAGATCCATCTGATTCCAAAGGCTCCTCTGGAAACTCGCCTAACCTTAGGGCAAAGCTACAGTTTGCAACTACATTAAGCTACACATAGAAATTAAGAAATATTTTAAAATCTTTTCTAATAATTGCAAGACTGAACATCTTAATGGTGGGAACTTTTAGAGTTCTAGGAACTGGGGGTGTGTCTGAGCGTAGTAGTTCAAACTGTAACCATAGCACTCAGAAGGTTGTGGCATAAGGGTTGCCTAAGTCCTAGGTTGGTTTGGGCCGCGAGTGGGTCTGTCTCAGAAAACAAAACTCAGAATTGGATTCGAGGTGGCATGGGGAACACACCTATAACCTTAGGCAGAAGCAGGAGGATCCTGATGTGTGGAGAGCCTGGGCTACATGGCAAGACCTTGTATTTCTCTAAGTTTTGAAACTTAGAATCCTTACTATGCATTGAGATCTGAAGGAAGTCCCCAAGCCCTTCAGGCTGTAACTCAGTGGTCTTCCACTCTGAATATCTCTGAAACTGCAAGATATTCTTCTAAGCATCCCAGAAACAGAGAGATGTACAGATGTGGCATCTGTCATCTGCATTCACCATCACTAAACCAATGTAGTTAAATCAAAATCCCTCCCTGTAGTCTGCAGCAATGGCATCCTTTTAGGTTTCTGCTCTGCTGTAATTTGGCTCTCAGTGTCCGTGAAGGCTTGTGTGTTAAAGCCTATGGTGTCGTGGAACCGTAAGAGGTCAGACCTAGTGGGGTGAAGTTAGGTCACTGGGGGAGTGAGCTTAGGCCACTGGGCCTCCAACCCCTTCTTTTCTCTCTTTTGCTTTCCTGCTACAAAATGAACAGACTTTATCCCTGATATCCTCGGAACATAATGTACTGTCCCACCATGGGTCCAAAGCATCAGGACCAACCAATCATACACCAAAACCTCTAATACTGTGGGCTAAAATAAGACTTTTCTCTTTCTCAACTGATTCTTTCAGGTGTTTATGACAACAATGGAAAGCGGACTAATATAGTTAACAAGTATACCAGGAGTGACCAGATGGATGTGAGACCAGCGAATTATTATAAATTAGAGACCCCTGACGTTAATGAATCGGAGGATTCACTGCCAATAGTTCCTTAGATCTTGGAGCCGGACCTCATCCTGTATCACATCCTATTCTCTGTTTCTGCCTGCGATGTAAGACCCTGTTTGCAGTCTGCTTTACAGTCAGATCCTTCTGCCTTTCCGTGTATTCTTTCCCATTGTGGCCTCTTTTCTACCCTCCCCCCATCTTGACTACGTGTCCCTCAACACCTTGAATAGTCACATTTGCCTTTCTCTTCCTTGTCTTCCTTTGTCAACATCACCACAACAAATCAACTGCAAAATCTCTGGGGATATATTCTTGTCAAGAAAAAGTTGTGAAAAACTCGGAAATGGTCAAAAAAGATTACTGGGCAATTTGCCTAGAAAACCATTATTACTCTTATTTTATGTGAGCCTTTCCTTATTTTAAAGACATTCATAACCTTGTAAATTGTGACAAGTAGATAGTAATATAACTGATTCTTTTTTAAAAGCAAAAGGTCCTTACATCTTGGGTAGTAACAGAGAATGGGTTGTAGTGCAGGGTTTTAAGTCAACATCCTTAATAGCTTATACATGTGTTTGAATTCTTCTCATAACATCTTCCAGTTTTCAGGCTGGGGCATGGCTCAGTGGGGAAGTGTTTGCTCTGCAAACGTGATTCAATCCCCAGAACCACATAAAAACGCCAGGCATACTGGCACATGCTTGCAATCCAGCACTGGGAAGAAAAGAAGGAAGGAAAGAAGGAAGGAAGGAAGGAAGGAAGGAAGGAAGGAAGGAAGGAAGGAAGGAAGGAAGGAAGGAAGGAAGGGCCCTGTACCTCCTGGCCAGCCAGCCTAGCTTAATTTGTGAGCTACAAGACAAAAAGACCCTGTCACAAATGAGGTGGACACTGTCCCTGACACCAAGATCATCCTCTATCAGCACAGGTACCAAGTACACACACACACACACACACACACACACACACACACACACACACACACACACACA